TTTATTAACAGAGGTCCCAACATTAAGTTAAATTCATTTTACTTCTATTCATCTTTGTTATTTGTGAATAAGTACTATTTTGGTTTTCCTGATAATTAATCAGTTAGACATTAAATTAAATTAAATTGCAATATTTTATATGCATGTTCTTGAAAAAAAATATTTAATTTTTCAATTGTTTCATTATTGAGATTTGCTACTATTTGTTTAGGTATTTCTTGACACTTATTTATCAATGGTTACGTACTCAATTTTAATATTTCAAACATAATATATTTTATTTTTCAAAAAATGTGTGGTTTTAAAGAAGGACGTAAGAATCTTTGCTTTGCCATTTTGTATCATGTTCTGTGGACCAAAATTTACAGGAATTGGGAGAAGAATATTATTCTAAATTTTTTATTCATTTTTATTCTACATGTTGAAGACAAATTGTCTGGCTTGTGTAATTTCATATATATATATATATATATTTATTTATATACTAGTACCCAATCAATCATTTAAAATTAAGATATGAGATCTCCTACAATTAATGCAATCCCTTGCAATCAAACAACATATCAACAAAATTTTTTGCAATCTTAACATTTTGTGCATTACCTCCATTGTTCAATCGCACTGAATTTATATCAGTTAAAAGTTGATTTTAGTCAATCTTGTGTAATTTCTGGCTAGAATAAGAAATTAAGGGAGGAGGGGAGGCAGGGCCAAGAAATAGGGAAAGAAAATTAATTAAAGAAATTAAGATGGAGAATTAATGACCTTAATTACCCCCAGAAGAAATTTATATAGTAGTTTGTAGTATTTATTTGGTTATTGGGCTTAATACTAGAGATTTTTATCCCAACTCATCATATATCTCAGCCAACCATTTAAAACAGTCACACTAGTTAGAGTTAGTATTAAATGGCATTCAATCGTCATATTGGTAAGTTCTAGATGACATTCACATGTGATATTTCACTCAATAAAAAGGCAAAATTAATGACAAAGACAATATACATTAACAAAATTAATATGTGTAGTACTTAAATGCATGGTTATTTGAACTTGATTTAGTTGGATTACACTCGGATATGCATTAGCCAAACGTATACAGAAAGGTAAGTAAGCTCAGGCAGGATACCGGCAAAAAGGTGTACTACTGTTACACGTGCAGTTGCTCCATTGTTGCTGATGAAAACATGAAGGAGGATGAGTAGCCGGTAACACAGGAACCAAAGGCATCTGGTGCTTGATGCTGAAATAACTTAAAAACATGAATAATAAGGGGATGATTAGAGTGTAGTTCTGATTAAAAGAATCAAACAAAATTAAGTCTTGGACGTGATGCTCATTGACTTAATTATCCCCCGCTCATAAGTCTCCCAGCAAAAAAACCCAAACAGATGTAACAAAAAACCAAGTAGATATTTGCGCTGTTAGAGGACCCAAACAAACACCAATTTGGTCTGATACCGGTGATTTGTCGAATTTGGTGTATTTCCTTAGGTGTCTTTGTTTTTTTTTTTTTTTTTGTTCCTTTTGTTTATGATTGGATTTCACTTGGCTCTATGGAAGGATGGGAAACAGAGGGCCAGACTCCAAGGAAACAGCTCCATTTTTTCCTTTGAATTTTGTCTTTGCCAATCCATATGATTATTAATTCCATCTAAAACTTGGGATTTTTAAACATCTCCAACTCTCTATCTCTCTATATCTGACTGTCCCTTGATCACAGTGATAATATTTTTTATGGGGGGACGGCTTTTCAGGGGAAAAACCACTTTTCTTAGACTTGCTCAAGGTTGTTATTTATATTCAAAACCCAAAATGAAAAGAAAGAGAGCATCATTTTCATTCCACTACATTTTTTTTTTTTATAATTTTCCCCTTAAATGATTGAAATTATTAAGGTGTTATACTTTAGTATATCCCACCAATGCTGTACACGGATGAGGACACGTATATAGGAAAATAAAAGACAAAAATGCTAAATCATGTGCTGTAGGACCAGATAGGATCGCATTTTAGTACGTTCAATTAATTGCTGGACTTAATGATTTGAGTTTGAAAATGGTTAGGACATGTGAACAAATTAAGGTTTATAACTTTCGATGATGCAAAATTAAAAGGAAGCTGAGAATTACCAATGGCGCATGGGGCAGTGGGAGTTCTTAAAAACCACGATAAAAAGTCCCAATGTCGTGTTCCAAGAGTTTCATGTGACAAAAACATTGTACAGAAAACCATGATCACCACCTTCCCATATCATGACTTCCATATATTTTCTGAAATTTTCCATCTATACGCGTGAATCTTGATTTTACTATTGACCGATCGCGAGAAGAAAAAAAAAAAAGGAATTCATGACAATGATTAATTGTTTATAATGCTTCAAATTAGATATATCTAAGCACAAAGAGATGATACATAAACCAAAAAATGCCTAAGCAAATCGACAAATTTTCAGAATTCAGAAATACGTTAGTCTAACAGTGATGTTGAGTTCTTAACAACCAATAATCAATGAGGGACGTTTCTCCTCAATTAATTTTTTTTCTCTCTCTTTTCGTGAACTAAATGTTGAAAATGAGAAGGGGAGAGGCCATGCGAGAAAAGTATTGGATAAAAGAAAACAAAACAGTCGGCTTTTTTGTTCGATGTATAGGTGTGGGATGTTTGATTATTGCTTCAATTTGAAGCTAGTCTGTTACAATTCTGAAGTCAAAAGGATATTCAATAGTGAAACATCCATGTCCTCCTTGTTTAAGGTTAGAAAATATTCTAAACTTACGTTTTCTAATATTTGGTAATCTAACTCATGTTAATTCCTCAATCCTTCGAGCTTTTACTTTGGATTCATCTAAAATCAAAGGTGACACATTGCCGAAATTATAGGAACATTACTAAGGATATTTGCAACATCAGAAATATTAAAGTGACATTGTTATCTTACATTTGTGAAATTTTTTATTTTTTATAGTTTTATATTCAAATTAGATCCTTTTGTATACAGCAAATTGATTTTAGAGATACATCAAGCTTCTAATTACAACAACTAATTTATGGATAAGGAATATTTTAGATTCTTGAGAACTGTAATGTATAATTATTCTGGCTAAAATTGCGACGTTTCACGTCCAGTTCTAAAGTTTTCCTGTTTTTCCAAGGATGGAAAACAATCACGCAAGCCATTAGCCAATAGATTTCTTATCAAGGTTTCCCGCACATACTTCCCACCCCCAAAAATCATGAGAAAACCTGTTTCTTTTCTGGAAAAGGAAGGGGGAGAAAGAAAATGGGAAATTAAAGTCTATAGATATTCTAGCAATCTAGCTCATGCAATTTGCCAACTTTTATTAGTTTAATAAGCAATTATTATGGAAAGTAACTCACTCCACTTCAATACCCAAATTCCAAAAGGCAATTTCATAAAATATAAAAATGCAAGTTATTATGTACCTGGTATTACATGTAATCTTTTATATTAAAGAATTTGTTTTTGTTAGAATGATTAAAAAGTTTTTGAACTTTATATTTTATTTCCATAAATTTTTTATATTTTTATTGCATTGAAATAAGTTTTTAACTTTTATTTTGCATCCAAATAAATTTTTAAAATTTAATTTATATTTAAATAAATTTTTATATCTTAATTTATATTTGAATATATCCTTAACATAAATTAATTTTTTATTTAAAATAAAGACTTATTTGAATACAAATCAAATAATAAAAATTTATATTAATAAAATAAAATTGTAGAGAGTTAATCAAATAAAGTGTTAAAGTGTGAGAACTCTTTTTGTATTTTAATCATTTGTTTTTGATACACTAGATGAGATAATTATTAATTTCGTTGGCAAAGTTTAAAATTTTCAATTTTACCATTTGTTAAAAAATAAAAGTTCACATTCTCTCTCTCTTTTTTTTTTTTTTTTTTTTAACTTTGTTTCAAGCTAGAAAATATTTAGTATAGTGTAAATCCATCTATAATAACGTACTTGATATTTTTTTGAGTTATAGTGAAAAAATTGAAGGGTTATTAATAAATGTTTATAAATATATATTAAAATTTTTTAAAATAATATTTTAAAATATTTCTTATTTAATATTTCTTTCTTACCCAAATTAGAAAGATTTAATACATCTATTATAATATTTATAAATATCACATTAATAAGAATTAATAAACACAAATCAGTAATTTTCAAATAAAAAATAAATGGGAAAGGACATTTTCAGTTTTATCTCTCAAGCCCAAATGGGGAAGTACACGACCGTTAGGTCAGAACTAATGCAAAAGTAACGCGCCGCCGGCCGCGGGAGGAGGAGCTTGTTTCTCACTTTCTTTTACGGCAAAAGAATATGAAAGCTTTTCCTAGAAAAAAAAGAAAAGACTAAAAATGTGAAACCAACGATTTATTGCAATGTTGGCCCAATTATTAATAAAAATACTATTTTTTAGTCAACGCTCTCCTTGAATTGTCAACAAGGCTATTTGCAATTTGCCTTTTTCCTTTTCACAAATAAAGAGAATGTATTTTAGAGCGTGTGTGACACCCACCGTAAAGACGTGTGGGAATATGAAAGCTTTTCCTAGAAAAAAAAGAAAAGACAAAATGTGAAACCAACGATTTATTGCAATGTTGGCCCAATTATTAATAAAAATACTATTTTTCAGTCAACGCTTCCTTGAATTGTCAACAAGGCTATTTGCAATTCGCCTTTTTCCTTTTCACAAATAAAGAGAATGTATTTTAGAGCGTGTGTGACACTCACCGTAAAGACGTGTGGGAAATGCATGTCTTGATAGTAGCAGAAAAGAGAACAGAAAAAACCCAGAGACGTACAAAATCCATATGTAAATGGCGGCGAATTCTATGTTGCCTGCCACGTTCGTTCTGGCTGTAAAAATTAAAATTTTTACTATTATAAAAAAATTGAAATTGAAAGTTGAAACTTTACATGGTAAAGAAATTAAACTAACATGAGTAACGTCCGAAGAAGCAAGGAAGATTACCAGAGTACCCTCAAGTTATTGACTTAATTACATAGAATTAATTAGTAATTAAGCTCCCACATTAGAGGAAGAAAGCGTAATTATCTGTGGGGAGCGAGGCAAGGCAAGTGGTCAAAGGTGATGAGAAGTTTTGCCTAAATCAAACAATTTGACCGACTAAAATGGAATAACAGGGCCGGGTAACATGAGCCTCACGTGACATGCTTCGCGTCGTTCGAAAGTGAGTCACACGTTGAATATGCTCTCCCATAAGGCCAAACTCCTCCCAAAAAAGGCCAAACGGGATCCATTCTACACGTGTCCAAATCATACACCATCATCGGGATGTGGCGGCTTGTTTCTAATCGGAATCTGCGGTGTGAGACTAACCGATGCTGGTGATTAGAGGTACGTGACTCGTCCAAATTGCACATCATTATAAAAGACATATACCTAAAAAAACTATTTTTAAAAAATAATATGCAGGATTTCTGTTGGGATCTTATAAAACGGCAAATTCAGTGTTTGGGACTCCACGGCAACCAAAACTCTGCTTCTACTACTATACTACACTTTTGCCTACTCTTATTGAAATATTTTGGTTCTCCGTATAGTTTCTTTGAAACACTAGCAGCCTTTTTCTTCTCTTTCTTCGGTGTTTGCAGATAAGATTGCTTTCATTCTCAGTCGTGAAGTGAAGTCTAATCGTAGTGGGTTTTTTTTTTTTTCCAGATTTTCCATCTGGAATCGTCAGGGAATAGTGACCAGTATAGAAACTTCCTGGTACTGGGTTGGCAAAAAAAAAGGAATTACTGGAGCTTTTTTGTACAGGCCATAGTTGTTTACTTCCCTTTTCTGCTGGGTTCAGTATCTCCTTTTATATCTGTTGCTTTCTACCAAATCTTTAGGGTCTGTGAGATCTTTTTCCCTTCTCAGCCTCTGCCAGGGTTCTCTTTGTTGAAGGGTCTCTCTCTCTGTTTCCCTCTCTTCTTCCCTTTTTCCAATCTATATCTGAAAACATAATCTTTCAAGGTTGTTCAAGTTTTTGATAGTGTTTTTGAAACCTTTTGATACCTATTGGCAGATTTCTGATTCAGCCTTGTCTTTGTTATCTCTTTCCAAGGTTTAAGCTTTCCTTTCACGGTTCCTTGCCTTTTCCCCACTTTATTCTTCTACCTGCGTCGACCCTTGTTCTCTTCTATCTTCTATCCATGCCAACGGACAGAATCTGAGACCATCCAAACAACGTAGCCTCCAAAAGAAAAGGGAAATCATCTAAGCCAAAAATGGACCAAAGTGTCCTATGTCCGATCAAATACACCGAACACAAAAAAGTCACCAAAAAATTCAGAAAACCATCCTTAAAAACCAAAAAACCATCTTCCGATTGTGACCCTACTCACAACAGCAACAACCCTGATGGTCCGAGAATCGTTCGTGTATCTGTTACGGACCCTGACGCAACAGACTCTTCCAGCGACGAGGAAGCTGACTTCTTTGGTCGCCAGAGAGTGAAACGCTACGTCAACGAGATCAACATCGAAGCCGCTTGCAAAAACACTGCCACCACCATTACTTCCAACAGCAACCGCAAAAGGAAAGTCCCTGCCTCTGACGTCACAGCGCCTTGTCGTAGACCGCTCAAGCTTTCTTCATCCAACGGAAACGGTAGGAAGTTTAGAGGAGTACGGCAAAGACCGTGGGGAAAATGGGCGGCCGAGATTAGAGATCCTACTCGACGTGTACGGCTGTGGTTGGGTACTTATGACACTGCTGAAGAAGCAGCCATGGTTTATGATAATGCAGCAATCAAACTTCGAGGGCCTGACGCTTTGACCAACTTCGTTACTCCCCCAGCTAAAGAAAATAATGAAAAGCCAGAAAACATTAACGTGGCTTCAGTTCCTGGATGGTACGAATCAGGGGACGAATCATCTCACAATCTTTCTTCTCCAACTTCAGTTCTTAACTTCCAAACTCAATCAAGTGAAGAAAAAGCAATCGAACCGGAAAAACCGGTTCAGGAACTCCAAGAAGAAGAGAGTAAGCCGCCGCCGGTTCCTAGTGAATGTCAAGTGGAAACTGCAACAAACTTGCCCGATGATTTGGGAGATTATTTGCCACTCGATTTCCCTTTCCGTGACGAGTTTTTCAATATCCCAGTTCCAGGAATGTCGATTTTTGATGATACTGCGACAATTTTGCCGGACAGCAGCTTGTTCAATGAGGATTTTAGTGACATGTTAATCGATACGCCCCAAGATTTTGGCTGCTCCTTATCACCTTCAATTTATCAAGTGGACGATTACTTTGAAGACATCGGCGATTTGTTCTTCCCAGACCCTCTTGTGGCACTATGAGAGAGAAAGTTTAGTCCCTTTTCGAAACGAGTGTCGTCCCCGTTTGCTTGCTGATTTCTCGGTAGTTTTTGGATCGGCGGCAACAAAAAAAAATTGGGGCTAATAATTTTTTTTTAACGCTGTTAAGTAGTATTATTTATTTGTTTAATTTCTCCGTTAAAATAGACGGAGAGTTCAGTGGAGTTTTCTTTTGCTGAATTTTGTGTTTTTCTTTTTATACTTTTTTTCGTTACAAATAATTAAGGCTGTTTTTAAAAGAGTCTACGTATAATTTAGACGGAGAAACGGGTCATGAAAAGCATTTTCAATTCTCTTTGTTTTGAAATTTTCATGGATGGCGTGTCGGTTCATACTGTCCATCACGTGTGGAAATTTGAATGTGCCATGGTGGCATTCCTTTTGCCCCGCACAGGGGCGCAATTTACGGTTTGGCCGGTCAAGTGACTCCGAGTCGGTGCAGCCCGTGTGTGTGAAATCGAGACTCTTTTTCTTTTTCGTTGTTTTCTCCACAATTTTTAAAAATTTTTTTATTCTCATTTAAGAAATTATGTTGCCGCAAACTATATAGTAAGAAAAAGAATGCAAGCTACAAAAAAAAAAAAAAATGGGGGTTATAATTGCAAATTGCATTTACTAATAGTATTAAGTGGAAATGGTCCAAAGGTTAATTTGGCAGATTTTATTTTTAAAGTAATTGGCTGGTTTTCTGAGTTGGTGAATTGGCGTATAACACATCATACTAAATTTAGATTTTGAATTATTAAGGGGTCGTTTGGTAACATTATCATTTTTTGTTTTTTATTTTTATTTTTAGTTTTTTAAATTGAAAAAAAAACATGCTTGATAAGTTCTTTTTATTCTTTACTTTTGAAAATTAAAAATAAAGTTTTAGAAAGTTTTGAAAATTGTTAAAAACAAAAAATTAGTATTTTTATTTTTTTTTTTTGTAAATAATTTGATATTATTATCACACAAATATTGTTTACAAAAATTATAATTAAACCGTTATAGTGGCACTACAATTATTATATTAATAAAATAATATTTTTATTATAAAAATATTTTATTAATAAATAAATAAAATTATATTAGTAATTAATATATTATATTAATAAATATTATTATATTATTAGTAACAAACGAGCCTAAAAACTTTAATCACTTTTCTTTTATATGTTTTTGTTTTGATATTTCTAAAACAAAAATATTGTATGAAACATATTTTTAAATTCAATAAATTAAAAATAAAATATAAAAATATAAAATATAAAACACATAATAATACCAAACGACATCTAATTTCTTTTGTCTTTTGTTTTCTGCCTAGAATCCCTCAAAATTTCAAAAAGAATATTGGAAAAATGTTCCATTTAATAATACTTTTTAGCTTTTGAAAAATTTTTGCTATAAAATGTTTCTCTTTTTTGTTCAATTAACGCAGTCAAAGTCAATTTCCATGCTGTTGAATAAGAAATATATTCCAATCAATTTATTATCAATATTTTTTAAAAGATAAAAAATCCAAAAATTGTAGACTATAGAATATAGAAAGAATTAAAAGATTTGGGAAGAATTAATGTCGTAGAAAAAAAAAGTATTTAACGTAATTAGAGGGGCTTACAAATAACAACTTCGAATGTTTGACTATCAATCTCGTAATTATTTTTGTCGACCTCTTCCTAAATCTATATATCCTTTTCTTTTCTTTTTTTTCAAAAATTTGTATAGGATTCTTGCGTATGCCTTTGTCAGAATGAATGTCTCTTTAGCTAGGCATAATTCATTCTCATTGACTGATTTCAACTATAGTTCAATTGCAATTATTTTATTTTATTTTTAATAATTAATTATTTTGTTTTTATTAAATATTAATAAAATTGAAAGTAGTTACATAATAAATTTCAATATTAAACTATAACATAGCAACATTTGAGCTTAATATCTTAGAAGTTTGCTTGTGGATTTGGTTATATAAATATGTTTTAATTTGTTAGTTGATTATTTAAAGATATATTATATATGATCGTAATATTAATTATAATTATATCTTTTTTTGTACTTAAAATTTAAAAAAAATTGTAAATTAAAACACAAAAAGAAAAAATAGAATTACAATTTACAAGACACCAGCTGAGAATGAAGCAAGAATATCTTAGAGAGGGGGTGTGGGGGTTCTTCACTCTTCGGTAATGAAATTATTGGAAAGCACTTGCTAACTATAACTAGGCTTGCTTCACTGTTACTCAAAAAGGAATGGAATGGAAATGCAGAAAGTCCTAATAATTATGTCTATGTTTTATGTTTAGCAATTTAATTTTTATATTTTCATTTCATGCTGATAATAGAGAGTGATGGACCATTGAAATATCCACACGTTTAGCCTAGCGGACGTCGACCGCGACCTAAATTTTCCAACAATTATGTCTGCAAAAAGATTGCGCTATCTCCAGCGCATTCTTCTAATAATAGAGGAGTACTTGGGGTGGAGTCACAAAGCTAAAGAGATCGGTCAAGTTCATTGATGGAGTACAAGATGCGGTGAATCTGATTATAATATTTATTTTTTACATTATAAATTTATATTAATTCAAACATAAAATTAAATACAAGAAAAAGCACGAAAATGCTCGGACATTTTTTTAAACTAGTGATTTTTTTTTTTTTTTTTTTTTTGTGTTTCTGAGTTTAACATGCAATATGTTTTGGGTTTTTACTTAAATTAGAGATTTTAACTTTGAATAAATAACCCGACACTCTATTTCTAAAATTATCCTTGGAAACATAATTAAAGATGTTTTCCAAATACAAAAGATTTATTAATATTTATTTGTCAGTCAGGAATTGGAAATTTTGGCTATAGAAGGAAGCCACGTTCAGTCGGTTTCGCCAAATTTTGTTGTTTCCAGCCAGCTAATTTTAGGTACATGTCAAAAAAACGAGGACAATGTGGAAGAAAATCAATGACCAATCATAAGAGGAAATTTACAGTAGAGACGAATGTCAGTTATCAAACACAGAATTATTAACAGAAAGCAAAATACACAGTTTGTAAAATCTTCAACGATGAAAATCATAAAGTTCAGAAATTTGATGGCAAGTGTCAGAGAAATCATTGCCGCGAAATTTTTATGTATTTTTCAAGTGAAAATGGAGAAAATGGGAAAGACGGTCAACAAAATAAATGGGAACGCATTTAACTTGCAAGTAATCCTTTTTTTTTTTCTCTCTCTCTCTTTCTCTCTCTTGATGAGAATTTATACTTTTTAAATCATCACAACTCCAAAACCATAAATATAACGGTCAATAAAATCTTGTTTCAGCGACAAGGAATAAATTATAAAATTTTGAGATATTAAATTTAAATTTTATCATATAAATTTTAAATTTATCCGATTATGTATCGGTTTTTTAATTAATTTAATGTCATTTAATGAATATAAATTTAATATTTGATTATGATTGCATAATTTTTTTACCTGTAATTTTATTTAAAAAACCAATTATATAAGAAAGTCATTGATGCAATTTATTTTTAATTGGACTTAAAACTCAAATTAAGGGTTTTAATCTTACGGATGAGTTTTCCTTTCAAAATCCGTACTCAAGTGGTTGTGGAGAATCACAACAAAGGAGGGTTTTTTTTTTTTTTTTTGGTTACAACAATAAAGGGGATTAAAATTAAAGCAGAATGCTTCCAACTTGGTGAGAGCTTTTTCTTTGGGTAGGGTTGGCCTTATCCAGAGTTGTTTTTTTTTTTTTTTTCTAATTACTCCTTTGGTCAACTATATATCGTTTTAGGGATTTTTTTTTTTATAAGGATGGGTCGATAGTGGATTAATATAGAAAATCAAAATTAATATACAGGGCGTTAGAAATACAGCTTGTGGAAAATGTGAAAAGGGTTGTTGTGGAATGGATGCAGTTGCTACTGCTAATGCTGACCCCGCTTCACCGGTCACTTTTTTTTTTAAATATTTGTTTGTTTAATTAATAATAAAAAAATAATTTTAAATTTAATTATATCAAATAATATTTGTTTATTAAATAATATTTACTTTTCTAAGTTTTAATTTATATTAATTTTAATATAATTATATTTTTAATTATGAGGATTAGATATATAAAATTAATTATTTACAAATAACATAATATAAATGTATTTTTTAAATATTTATATTTTATTATATAATTTGTCATATATTTGTTATTGATGATATAAAAAATATATTAATTTTCATGTTATCAAATTTTTTAATGATAATAATGTAATTATCAAATAAAACCATCATTTAAATTTTTATTAATAAGTATCAAGATTTTTATGACATTTATTTAAGTTTATTTAAATTGTTATGTTGAAGCCCTTTATTAACATTAAGGATAATTTTTGTTATCTTTCGGAGTTTATCTCCAAATCATATTAAGGAGAATTGTCGAAAAAACAAAAACCTCTACTTTTTTATTTAATGGCTAAAAAGCTCTTAAAAAAATATAAAGATCTTGGTTTCAATTCCAAACTTTCGTTCTCTTTCCCATGAGTTATACGTATTTTATGTACAAAAAAAAAAAAAAAAGAAATAGTCAAATGTCCAACATTAAAACAGGTATGATCGAACCTATACAGATTAAGTCTAGCCCATCGATTTTCCTTCCTTCCCTTTTTATTTTTTATTCCATATGCACCATTTCGGTGCTAATATATAAGGAAAAAATATAATTTTTTTTATTTATTCAATTTTCTCTCTATAAACTTAGTTTCTTTCTATTTAAAAGTGTTAACTAGTCATTATTGAGGCGAATTTGACACTTTCCATCCCCATAACCAATTATGATATTTATATTTATTTTCGTACCCATTAAGTAATATTTTTATATATCCATCTTTATATCTCATAGATAACAGGTAACCTGAATTTTATTTGAAAACTCAACTATAATTTTTAAAAAAATATTAAAATAACCTATAAAATCATATATCACAAACCTACACTAAACAATTCAATAAAATCTACAAAACCAATTTCATATGAGAAAGTGGTATGTAAAATATTTTTTTGTAAGTTATATAATATTTTAATTATAAAAAAAGGAAAAATGAAAAATATATAATTTATATATGTCGATATTTGGCAACCCGCGAGACGGGGTATTACCTCGCCATCCTCTTCTCTGAACCTGATTATCTGATTATTTTAATTGGATATAAAATTCTACTTATA